AATGTTCTCCGCGGCGGCCTCATTCTCCGCGCGTCCCCGCACGCACATGATCAGCGGCGTCTGCGGCGGCGCGGCGGGCGGGGTCGGAAGGACGCCGACGCCGGCATCGAGGCGGCGGGACAGGGCGAGAGGCAGGCGAGGTGTGCGTGGTCGGTCGCGGCATGTTGCCCGCGCCTGGTTGAGGGAGTCAACCTCCTTGATCGAGTCGCCATTGATGAGCGACGCCACGGTGGAGGTCTCCGCCTTTGCGGCGGCCTCGTGCAGCTTGGTGGGGTACTCGATAAGCGCCATCGCAGCTGCAACATGTGCGGAAGGCTCAGCCTCGCGCGCAGGCTCGCAGGGTGTGTGCAACGCGGGCCCGGCGGGTGAGGATGGCGGTGCCGGGCGCGGGTGCGGGCGCTGCTCGGGGTGTCTGGCGGGGAGAGCAGGGAGGGGAGAGGAGAGGCAAGGGCCGATGCTGGCGCACCAAGTGATCTTGGGTCCACCAGGAGGACAGAATTTCGAGCGTTTTTCTTTTTTAGTGTTTGTAGCTCTCACGTACATTCCCGTAGGAGGACTCTGCTGACAGGGTTTGCGATGAGGAGCGACCCGAAGGGTTTCTCGGAGGTTAGCGCACCACTAACCGCCGACAATATACCTAAAACTAACCGCCGAAGCGCAAGAACTCTTTTTCAGTACCTGTGTCTGTCCGGACGTCAACAAATACCGCGCTGGTATCCAGTCCGGGCCTGACTGTTCTTCACCTTCCTACATACATACATGTTAAGAGCAGATTTGTTGAGCAGAGGCGTTGTAAAATTCTTTTTCAGTAGGATACTCGAGTAGAGGAATTACTTTTATAAAATGAACTCGGGGGCACGGGACGCGGCACAAACGGGGCACAAACGCCAGGCTACAAAGACGGGGAGGCACGTAGTAGAGGAATTACTTCCCCCGTCGACGTGGTACATATCCTGGCGTTCCGTCGCGGTGTGTGTATCGCAGGAGGGTCTCGTGACGGATGCATATGGAAGCCATGTTGACCACGGGTGACACCCTATGCAATAGGTAGGTAGGTCCGGCTTTGACCGCCCCAGAGGGCCCTGCAACAGGTAGGTACCCCGTGTTTTCGTCTTTTTTCGCTTCGCTGCGCGGCCTGGGGATAGATAGGTAGGTAGGGCGTTTTGGCGCGAGTCATGGGATGAACTGCCAAGCTGGAAACACGAGGGTCGCCACGAGGGATGCCTCCTAGAAAGAAAGAAAGAAAACAGACAACCCAAGGGATGCCTCCTACTGGTTGCGCAGCTGAAATTTCTTCTTTGGAGCCGCTGCGAAGCTCGGCGCTGCGCTGGCGCTTGTGGCACGACCGCAAGGCAGACCGGGCGCGGAACTGGGCCATCGAGAAGAAGCTCACACGCGCGGCGAGGAAAGCTCGATATGCTCTCGGCCCTCGCCCGAACGCTGCGGCTTCCGATGCAGCCGCCAGCGCCGGTGCGGCTCATGGCAAAGCGCGCCGCGCAGGCACCAAAGCCGCGAGACTCGGCCAAGGTGGCCAATCTCTTCAAGCGCGGAGCACGCGGTCTCTTCGGCGGAAAGATGATCCAGTTTGGAAACATCATCTCGTTCTCCAACAAAAAGTGGCCCCCCCCGCCCCCCGCGACGACGCACGCGCCGGCAGTGGTCGCGGGCGAGCTCCCAGCCCCGCCCTCCCCGTCCCCGGCCGCAGGTCGCGGCGGACATGGAAGCCCAACGTGCAGAGCAAGCGCTTTTGGAGCGAGACGTACAACCGCTTCCTCCACTTTCGCGCGGTCGCGTCCGTCATCAAGCAGATCAAGAAGCTGCCGCACGGGATCGACGACTATCTGATGCGGACGCCGCGCGAGATTCTCCGCTACCCCAAGGCACGCCGCGCCCGCGCCGCGCCCCCGCGCCTGCCCCGCCGCCACGCACGCCAGCATCGGAGCGGCCCGCGGCGCACAGGCGATTCAGATGAGCAAGAACCTGCGGCGGATACACGCATCGCGGGCCGAGAACCTGGAGCCCGCCGAGACCAACGCGCAGGGCGTGCTCTCCTACCGCCCGCTCGACGCGGTCAGAGAGTGCGGGCCGGTGGGCGGGCCGCAGGGGTCCGCCGGGCAGCGCGCGGCGGCGGCCAAGGCGGCAGCTGCGGCGCGGGCGCTGGAGGACAGCGTCGGCGGGGCGGAGCAGGCGAGGCGATGAGAGCCTGGAGTTTGTGTACCTAAGGTATAGTCTTGCGCACCGTCAAGCTGGTGCACTTGCTTTGCGATAGTGTTGAAAAGAGAGAGGATGCCGGAGCCCGTCAGGAACCGTGAGCCTCACTCTATATGACGTCTCAGTCACACAGGACTAGTTGCAAATACGGCATACGGGGGTGGTGACTGGTGTATATGTGGAAAAATGACCCACTTTTGATGTTTTTTGTCCGTGTTGCTCCCAGCGCCCTCGCCCGCGCTCCCTGAGGCCATGGCTGGTGCTACTAGTATGGGGGGCTACCTGGCTACCGCGAGAGCGACCCAACTCGTCGACATCGTCCGATGATGGTGCCTCAAAGTCAGCCTCCGGAGGCTATCGTTGCGTCGAGCCGGCGGTGGCCGTGACATGTGGTTCCACCACCCCTCGCAGGCTTTGCCTCTGACCGCCACCGTTCCCAGGCTGCCTAATGGGATGGAAAGGAAGGCTCGGCGAGCGTATAGAAGCGCTCTCGACCTCGTCGTGGCAACCTGCATGGCAGCGCTGGCAGGCGCGATGAGCGTCGTGCCACCTGACCCGAGACGGGTCGCAGGCGTCGTACCGAGCGCGTCGAGACTGTGTCCTGATGCGCTCTGCACGGGTGAGCCACGTCGGCGTCAAAGGAGCGACGTGTGACCTGTCAGAGCTTGATCTCCGATCTCAGCGACGTCGAGTCGCCTTCGGTGGCGACAGCTAGGATGCATCTCCTCCGTCGTTTTTCGCGCGATGGCCCTGAGAAGCTGGCGGTGCACGCAGGCGGACCTTGTGTGTGCACGGAACGCTTAAAAAGTGGGTGCTCTACGTCACTTTTTTTGAGTAGATAGTGCCGAGCTGGCCGTGAGCGTGACATCGTTTTTGGTAGTTTTTGGTGCTTTTTCCACGTGAGACTTTTTGCAACTAGTTCACAGACACAGTCTCATATACTCTACAATGTGCACGTGTGCACACCCACACGTGACACGACATTTATTCATTTTGGAGCGGGACACTTCACACATGACAAACAACGTCATTTGGGGCCTGGAGCCCCTGCACAATGATGTTTATGGAGGTTTAAAGGCCCTGTTCACGCGCGCGCGAGACGTGCAGACAGGGTTGCCAGGTGAGAGCGAATGGCGCGGTTCACGCCTCGCACAACAGAGAGAGAGATGCGCTCTGCATGGTGGGACATAAAAGAGAGCGAGTACTTGGGCGAGTAGGCCGTGCGGTCGACGCTGCCGCGCGCGACTTTGCGCGCGAGGCGGCGCAGCTTGAGAACGGCGGTGGGCGAGAAGCCGCCGCCGAACGTCTCGTGGAGCAGCAGGTTGAAGTTGTTGCGCTTGACAAAGATCGCGTCGTGGTAGAAACCGCGATGCGCCTTGACGTAGCCGTGGCCGGTCTTGTGGGAGAAGGGTTGGCCGGGCTACGTGTGAGTGTTAGATTTGTTTGGTATTGCTAAAAATCTCTCTCACATGACTGAGATGACACTCGCACACTCCGACACTGCACGCGAGAGGCTTGCGTCTTGCGAGTTAATCGTATGGCGACATGTCGCGTTTGCACTTGGAGCACTTGGAGTGCAGTCGGTAACCTCACATCCCCTGGGCCGGGGAGCTGAGAAGCGCACCCAGCGGGCCGGATGATCGGTATCGGGTTACGGGCAAGAGAGCCCTAGCCCTGGGGGGTGCGCGTTCGCAGGGAAAGGGCCATAACGTAAACACGGTTCTCCGAGGGTTGGCCCCGCGTACCGGGTTTCCCCTTAACTGCAGGACGCGCCCTCTACTCGGAGCTAATAGACACAACACTGTACACCACTCTCCTGTACAGACACCTGCTTAGACCCTCGTTTCGGGGCTCACCTACCGTCCTCCCGGGGCTCCGGTTCTCCCCCCTTCGCTCGCTTGCTCGTCAGCCGAGCAACATGCGACAGCCGTTGTGGTCGTTTCCCTCGTTGTTGGTGTCGCTTCCTCCGCTGCCGTCCTTCGTCCTCGCCAGCTTCTCCCGGCTCCACCGATTCCGAGGGCGTCGACCGCCCGGCCGAGGTCTCCCCGGGCGAGGACGGCGGCATTGGGTCGCGTCGCTCCCCCTCCCAGGGAGGTCGGGCCCGCTCTCCCTGACCGACGAGTCGTGCCCGCACCCGCGGTCTCTCTATCGTCCTCGGCTCGCCCCTCCCCTCCACCGGCTCCTCCTCCAGCTCGGAGGGCCGTGGCTCCCCTTGTCGTAGATCGCGGTGGTCCGGCTGCCGCCGCGACGGGTATACCCCCGGTGGGCTCGCACGGCCCGACTCCACTCGCAGAGGCCGAATCAGCTCGACCCTCCCCTCCCCCGACAGTTGACTCCAGGCCTCCCCCGGGGCCCTCCGGTCCTGGCCTTCCGGATTGCCGGATGGCCCGCTGTCTTCCCACGGCACCTCCCCCCCCTCGGTCCCCTCCCCCGGGTACTCCAGCCTCCGACGGGGCGGTTCCGGCCCCCCCAGGCTCCGCGCGGGTCGGTGCGGTGACGACCACGTCGGCGGCGGGGGCGAAGGCGGCGGAGGGGTGGGTGGGTACGGTGGCGGCACCGGCGGTCGCATCGCACGGTACAGGGCCTCAGAGGCGGCTCCTCAACCCAGCGGTCGCTCCAGCGGTGGGGGCGGAGGCGGTTGTGGGGAGGGCGGGTATGGTGGCGGTGCTGGCGGCCGCAACGCCTGGCGCGGGGCCTCGGGGGCGGCCCCCTGCCCCTGCGGTCGTTCCAGACGCGGTTCCACACGTCGGCCGTCTACCACTCGGGGGGGGGGGCTAGTCCTTGTCACCCCTCGAGAAGGGAGGGGGGCATACGTCTGCTTTCACATCCTCCTACACCTGGCGGAGGAGCCGGAGATCGAGCGCAAGATGGCCAAGAAGGGCCTCACGCCGCTCCTCGCCTCGATACTGAAGCGCGACAACTCCGAGCTCCGCGTCCTCGCTCTCGCCTTCCTCAAGAAGCTCGCTGTCTTCAAGGCGCGCGGGAGGGGCACTCTCGCCCCACTGCCTTGTGGACCCACGCCGCCCTCTGACCCTCCTCCGCCCTCGCCGTCGACCCTCGCCGCTGCAGGAGAACTTGCCGGCGCTACGCGATGCCTCCCTCCTCGCCGGGGTCGCGGCGGCATGCGGCTCGAGCTCGAGCGAGGAGCTCCCCCTCACGGCGTTGCGCGTGGTTTACAACCTCTCCTTCGACCCGCACGCGCGGAAGGCCATCTTCGCCTCTCCCGTCCTCTCCAAGCTCGCCGTGCTCATCCGGCGCCGCTCCCACCCCCTGGTCCTCCGGATCCTCTACCTCCTATCGGTGGAGCAGCGCGGCCGCGAGGCTACGCCAGTCCGCCACCCACAGCCACATCCGTGGGATGAGGCTCAGCCCGCCCCGCCGGCCTGTACCGTAGGCTCTAGCGAAGACGGACGTCCCCGTCTCGTTGCGCAAGCATGTGCTGGCCTGCTCGGACGCGCAGCTGCCGGCGGAGCTGGCGGGACTCGCCATCAACCTCGCCACGGCGAGCCGCGCGGCGGACGCCCTCGCCGCGGAGGGAGGGATGCGGCACCTCCTCGAGCGGCTGCTGCAAACGCATGACCTCGTACTGCTGAAGCTCATCCGCGCACTCGTCGCGCACGACGGCCCTGCGAGCGCCGCCGCGCCGCTCACCGCCGAGCTGCTCGGTCTCACGCGCCAAGTGGTCGACGACGAGCACATGCGGCTCGAGCTACTCGGCACGCTCTCTGGGCTCCGCCTCGCGCGGCTGCCCGACCTGCCGCGGCTCGTGGAGCGCTACTCGCTCATCGAGCTGCTGCGGCAGCACATGGCTCCTGGGGCGGCCCAGGACGACGCTCTCCTCGAGGCGGTCGTGCTCGCGGGGGAGCTCGCCGGCTCGGCCAAGGTGGCGGTCATGCTGCTCAGCTCGGGCCTCGTCTTCCGCGACAGCATGGCGGGCGGCCCGACGACTCGCACCCTGTACTCGCTTCTGACCGAGCGACAGGTCCTCGGCCCCGCGGAGTCGCGCTGCCCACGCGCGCCGACGCCGTCCCAGCCCCCCGCCTCGCCCCCGCTCGCGGCAGGAGGACGACGAGTTCGTGGTGCAGTTGCTGTTTGCCTTTTACCGGCTGCTGCAGGTGGAGGAGCCACGCGTGGCGCTGCTCGAGAAGACGCAGATGGTTGTCTACTTGCTCGACCTCCTCCTCGACCGCAACAGCGCGGTCTGCGGCCTCGCCTCGCAGTGCCTCGACGCCATCTCCGAGTCGGATGAGGATTGGGCGGCACAGATCCGGCAGCGCAAGTTCGAGGCGCACAACCACGAGTGGCTCGCCGTGGTGGACGAGGATGAGGCGGAGGAGTACCAGGACGCGCTGGCCCTCAACAACGCCGTCAAGTCGCTGCGGGAGAATGCGCCGCTCGACGCCTCCCTGCTCGGCAAGGGCGGGTACTTGGAGGCTGGGGAGACGCTCCGGCCTGGGCACTCGCCCGCGTCCGACTGCTCGAGTCCGATGGACGAGTATGGCGTGGGACACGGGATGCACGGCCTCGGCAGTTACGGGTACGGCCTCGACGAGTACGATGAGGAGGACTACGTGGCGTGACACTACTGGTGGGTAAGCCGACCGCAAAAGGTTCGCGCTGCTGTTGCGTATGACAACTTTTTGGGGGTGTGGGGTGTGCGCGCGCGGAGCCCTGTCCACGTGGTGGCGCCCCCGGCTTGTTGCACGAGTATATGGGACACGATGTCTCAAATATGAGGGGTTTTGACTCCTACCGGCTCCTGACGCTATCCCTGGCAGCTCTAATGGCCAGGATCAGTAGTGTTGTGATAGAGGGTGCCCATACTAGCGCAGGAGCTGCCACACTCGCCCGGACCGTCCCCTTCTGGGGCCGGTTCCGCACAGCCCGCGAGAGCCGACAGCGGGGCCGTGCCGCGGGTGCCTACTGCCGAGTGCCACAAACACTGCGCCGTCCCGCCATCACCTATAGGCTGTCTTGTGTGATGGTTGGGATGTCCAAACGCCACCATCTTGGCTCTTGCGACCTCAAACCCGCGAGCTGTATGGGTGGTCCTGACGTCGACAGACGCCCGATGACCACGGTGAAGCTGAGCCGGAACGCGTCGACAGGTCTCGTCTGAGCCCGTGGCGGTCGCCGGCTGAGTCGCTGTGCACGAACCGGTACCTCAGGCGTCACCTCCGCAGCCTCAGGTCTCACACTCCATCACCTCCGCCGGGACGCCGTCGGTGGCACGCTCGGCGGCGAGTTTGTTGCAGCCCCACAGCGAGCGCGGCGTCGAGCCTACTCGGTCTGGTCGGTCGGCCGCACTCCCTGGGTGCCAGGGAGTGCGGCCGACACGCGAGCGGTGCTTCCCGGCAGCGCGCGCCGGCTGTGGGGCTGCAACATACTCGAGACACGCTTTTTTGGGACATTTTCGACGCTTTTGTCCCATATACTCGTGCAACAAGCCCCCCCTGTCGAGAAGCGCGCGCTTCTGCTTCTCTCTCTGCACAGCTTTGCTGTGGCGATGGAGGTTTCCCATCCCTCCCATAGAAAGAATTCAACGAAAACAACTGTATTCTCACAGTAAGAGAGGCGGAGAGGCGCCAGTGATGACGAAGCAGAGACTAGCGCAGACGAGAGCAGGGCAGACCCGGGGACTGGGGAGCTGGAGCAGACGGCATCGGCCGCCAAGGGAACGTTGGGAAGAGGCACGAGGAGGGCGGCGACCTCGACCGACTATGGAGGACCCGTCGCCAGACGACGCAGGGCAGAAGACGGTGAGGCAGAGCAGACGCGCAGGGCGAGACGAGGGAGGGAGCAGGACTTTGCGGAGATCAGCAGGAGGATGTACGAAGAGGTTAGGAGCAGCAGGGACCCGAGGGACCATGTGGAAGACGGCTAGTGCTAGTCCCCCATCGGGAGGACGACCCCGGCAGTCGCCGACCACACCCGCGCCGCGGTGTTGACCAACGGCGCGGCAATCCGCATCGAGGGCGCCCACCGCGCACCGGCGCAGCGATAGTATTGCGCGCAGTCAGGCCTCGCCCAGAATGGACAGAAGGCACTGGCGCTTCTCGCCAGCCAGACTGACTTGGCCACTGGCGAGCGGGCCGACTGCGCGCCCCGATCCCACCACTCGGCGCCATCGCACGGGTCCTCCCTCGGCCGCGCAGCTCCAGAGAGGCAGCTGGCGTTGCGCTGCACTGCCTGAAGCTGCTGTTGAGACTCGCCAACAGTTGGAGCTGCCCCGCGCGCCGCCGCGAGCACCACGACGTGAGCGCGCCTTCTGGAGGGCGCAGGCACCACCCCTCGCGCCGGCCCGAGCCGATTCAGCAGCTCCGGCCCAACCAAGCGCCGACGGGAGGGCGAATAAATAAATAAATAAAACGGACACACCAAACAAGGGGTGGGAGAAGAGCGCAAAAGGGAGCGCAGGCGCAAATACTGTCCCGTTTTGCTGTTCACAGCTACGGACGGCCTCTGCGGCAAAGTCAAATCACCCCCACCACCTCCCACCTCCCTCCCACAGGCAAACCTTCGGCTCCCGCTCAGAGGCTCGCCGCGCCCGTGCGGCGCGCCGAGGCGGCGCCGAGGCCGGCGCCTTGCACCCGGCCCGCGGCCGGCACAGCCTCGCCCCACAACTGACCGCCCTGCGGCCCCTGCGCAGGCGTACCACAGGCGTCGCTCAAAAAGCGACGCCGGGTGTGGGCTGCTCCCTTGACCCGTCACCCGCCGCGCCCTCGCCCGGCCGCCTCACCGCTCACGGAGCGCACGGCTGCTCGCCGCCGCCGCCACGCGTCCCGTGCCGCCACGCATGCCCCTTGCCCTGACGCGCGCGCTCTGCAGCGGCAGAGCGCGCGTCTGTCACAGACGGAGCAGCGACCGCGCCAGCGGTCGGTGGTTCCGCCCCCCCCTCGCGCGCGCCGCGCGCGCGCCGCCGCCGCCCGCCGCCGCCGCCGCCCCCTCCTCGCCGTCTTCCCCACCCCTACCCTCTGTTGCGCGCGCGCGCGCCCCGCGCTGCGCGCCCCCGCCCCCACCCCCGCCCCCGCCCCCGCCCCCGCTCCCACGCATACCTTCCCCGGTAGGTGTGCGTAGAAAGTGGAACCAATCGACAGGTGGCAGAAGCCGCCGTGTGTGACACATATTGCGGCACGTGAGTGAGACAGAGCCCCGGCAGCGCGCGCGCACAGCGCAACAGGCGTTTCAAACAGCAAACGGGACGGCCTGCGCAGCGTCTAACTATTCTTTTGTGGGGGCGAGCTGCTCTGAGCTAGACGACCGTCTGCAAGGCCCGCACGCCTGCCGCGCGCCCACCCCGCGCCCACATCTACGCCCACGTTGCTGCATCTACGCCCACGTTGCTGCCGAGTCGCGTCTCCTGCCACGCCACTTCACCTCTTCGCTGTTTGGGGAGGGGTCGGGGCAGCGCCGCAGCGCCGCAGCGCAGAGCGCCCCTGCAGCAGTGCCGCTCAAAGCTGCCCTACACACCCACGCGCTCGCTCGCCGCGCCTGATCCTGAGAGCTCGCCTCCTCCCGTCAGACCCTGCCATGTCCATCCTCCGCCTGTTCGTGCTGTCTGCGCTTCTGTCTTGCGCGTCAGCGCTCGTGACGCCGCTGGTGCCGCTGCAGCGCGCCGTCGCCCCGCCGCGGCAGCCTGCCGCCGCGATGATTGCTCTGACAAAGCCGCAGCGCACCAACAAGCGCCGCCGCGAGTACAACAAAATGTACAAGTCGGAGATGAAAACCGCCATCAAGCGGGTGCATGGAGCCCCGCCCTGCCGCCGTTGCAACTCGACGTTGCGAGTGGCTCAGCGGCGCTCGGCCCCCTCGGGCAGGTGTTTGAGGCGGTGGACGGCGGCGACTACCAGGACGCCTCCTCGCGGCTCAACCGCGCTCAGGCCATCATTGACAAGAATGTCAAGCGCGCTGCTCCTGCTGCGCCCCACCGCCGGGAGAGGGAGGCGGGAAGCTGAGCGGCCACGCTTCGTACTCAATAGGCGGAACATCTTGCACAAGAACACCGCCGCGCGCCGCAAGTCCCTCCTTACCCGCAAGGTCAAGGGGCTCGAGCCCGGCGCGCCCGCGGCCGCGGCGGCGCCAGCGGCGGCTCCGGCAGAGTGAGCAGTAGCAGCAGCCCCTTCTCAGTATTGCATCATTACGCGCAGCCGGGCCCAGCAAGGGGAGCGGGCGGGGCGTTCGTCGTTCGTGCTCCACGTGGGCGCGACGCTTCGCGACGGGCGGCGCCTAGCCCTGGCGGGGTCGCAGTCGCCGCGGCCAGTATGTAGAGTGTTGCGCCCGTCTTTTGTCTCTTCTTGTTGTGTCAGTCGCCTGTTTTCTTGCTTTGCGCCCGCAACCGTCCGACGCGGCGCGCGACATCTTTTCTTGCTCGGCTGTCGTCGGCAAGACTTCGCGCCAGAGCCGAACGCCGAGCAGTGTGTGTACTTACTATATATATATGGAAAAAGGGGCCTCTGCCGATCCGGCAGACGGCCTCGCTCCGCTCCTCGCCCTCCTCGGCCTCTCGTCGGTGCCAGACGATCCTGCCGCCGTGACCAAGGCGTACAAGCGTGCGCTCCGCAAGCGGCCCTCCGCAGTGCACGAGCTGCGGCACGCTGCCGAGGCGTTGAAGACGGCCGAGTCGCGTGCCGCGTACCTCGAGGCTGCCGCTGCGCCTGCAGAGCCGGGTGCGCCGCTCGCCATCGGGAGGTGGTCGCTCCCAATCTCCTCGTGCGGAGCGCCTTCCCGTGCCAACGTCCCGGCGTATGGCAGCGCCTCAGCCCGCGGCCGGCGGCCAACGATGGAGGACGAAGTCTCGGTCGGAGCGCCGATCTGCGGCGCGCACATGTTTGCGGTCTATGACGGCCACGGCGGCAGACGGGCCGCAAAGCTGGCGGCGCGCCAGCTGCCGGACGCGCTGCGCAGGGCGGCCGGCGAGGGCGGCGGCAGCGGCGAGGGCGGCGGCGAGGGCGGCGGCAGCGGCGAGGGCGGCGGCAGCGGCGAGGGCCAGGGCGACGACGGCGAGGAGGAAATCATCCGCGAGGAGGCGGCGCGGTCGGCGTTTGCGGCGGTGGAGGCGGCGATCCTTCGCCAGGGGTGGCACGACGGCTCGTGCGCCACGGTGGCGCTGGTGGACAGGCCGCGGCGGCGGCTGCAGCTGCTGCAGCTCGGCGACTGCAACGCGATGCTGCACTCGCCGCGTGGGTGCGCCTCCTCCCCGCCGGAGCTGCTCTGCCCGATCCACCGGCCGACCGAGCCGACCGAGGCGGCGCGGCTCGCGAAGGCTGGTGCAGAGGTGTCGCCAGCCGGGGGGCGGAGAGGGCAGTCGCCACCTCGGCGCTTTCCCTGAGCCCCTCTCGGATCGCTCCGGCAGGTGTCGTCGACGGGGCGGTGCGGCGGGCTCGCCGTCTCGCGCGCCTTTGGCGACGCCGAGCTCAAGGCGAGGCCGTCCTGGACACTTCCCTGACACTTCCCTAGACACTTCCCTAGACACTTCAAGCAGAGCTCAAGGCGAGCGGCTGTCCTCGGGGGGCTGTCTGCGCCTCCGAGGGCTGGGCTACCCGCCCGCTCGCCGCTGAAGGGCACACGCCCCCGGACACGTGTCGGGCACGTCCCGGTAGGCGAGGCTGCCCGCCGGCTCGCTGCTCGCCGAGCCCGAGCTGCGCTGCGTCGAGCTGCCGGCCGGAGGCGGCGAGGCGGGCGGCGGCGAGGCGGGAGGCGGGGCGAAGCTCGTGCTCGCGTGCGACGGGCTGTGGGACTGGATCACGCCCTCCACCGCGGCTCGCGTCCTCGACGAGGCCGCCCCCGCCGCCGCGGCCGGGGAGGCGCCCGGCCTGGCCGCCGCCGCGCGCGCGCTGGTGCAGGCGGCGCTGGACCGAGGCAGCGACGACAATGTGAGCGTGGTTGTGGTGGATGTGTCGGTGCCAGGGTGAGCCGAGCATGGTGAGAGAGGGGGGGGGGGGGGGGGAAGGAGGAAAGGAGGGAGGGAGGTGGAGGGAAAAAAAAAACCAGCCAAAAACCCCAAAGAGAAAGCGGACGGAACAGCCCCCGACAGACAGAGCTATTTTTTGCATTTGTCGCCCCCCGAGGCGTAGCTCTGCTGGATACCGAGATCCGGGGCCGGGAGGTCTAACGCCCCAATAACGGCCGGTAATGGGCCCTGAGTGGCCAGGTGCTGCCCCCCCAATACACACCCCCCCATGCTGGGGGGGTAGACAGCGGTAGCTTTGCAGGGCAAGGCTCTGTGTAGGCCCTTGCCGGGGGGTTATGGCTCCCCCGGGCGCTGTCCAGAAAACTCCCGATTTTGCGAAATCCCC